GCGATTCATTGCAAATAAACATTAAGAAATTTTATTTCTCGATGTATAAACCGTTCAGGATATTTTTAGACAAAAGTCAAAAATTTCTTCTTCACACTGGATCAACTGATTCATTGACAAAACGGTTTCTGTCAGTGCGTGAGACTGACTTATGTTTATGTCATTAAAATTTAAAACGCCGAAAATTATTTGGTTACAACAAAATTTCAATAAAAAGGTGCTATCTGCAAATGAAAAAAGATAGTCCCCAACTCAAGTAATTAGACCAGAAAAAATGTCATCTATCAATTTATTGGCACATTTAGACATACTAGTTATAGGTGCTGAAAAACATGGAACATGAAACTGTATTTTCGAGAGCAAAATAGAGCAATCAATTTTATTATGAAGCAGTTTAATAAAAAAATTAGCACACTGCAATTACGTCTAGACGAAAGGGACTGCATTCCATGGCGTTGTAATAATAAGTTCATATCATGGGATAAAAGCCCATCTGGAATGAGAGAAACTTCAGAAATTTTCTTTGTATCTTGTCAAGCATTTAGATGTTGATTCATGTAGATGGGGTACCAGATTAATGAGGCACATTCAATTTTACCCAACACAAATGCAAAGAAAAGAGATTTCAGTAAATTAGGATTATTAAAATATTTAGAAACGCGCATTATAAAACCCAATGATTTATTTGCTAAATTACTTATGTCTTCAATGTGGATATTAAAAGTTAGCTCAGAGTGGTAAGTTACACTCAGATCTTTAACAACTAACTGACATTAATAGCATAAAAAGTATCTTTAGGATTAGATTTACGCGTATATGATACATACAAAAATGTATTAGTGTTTAAAACAAGCTTATTATCAGCACACAGGTTCGTGAAGTTGTCAATACAGTTTTGCAAAAGCATCATGTCGTTAAATGAGGAAATTATATGACAAGACCAGGTCATTTGGGGGATAACAGTAAATCATTAAGAAAAATGTCGGAATGCAGTGGACCAGGATCTGAACCTTGAGGAACACCGGTCGTTGAGATAACTTTATGGGAGGAAAAACCGTGGTAAAAAACATAATTAACTCGATTCAATAGATAAGATCCAAGAAGTTCAAGGAGGGGAAAAGAACATCCAATATTGTCAAGTTTATGTAGCAATATGGCATGAGATATGCTGTCAAATGCACGGGAGAAATCCCACATTTCACTAATTTCTTGGGTAAAAACCGCCAAATTTGTTATAGTGGATCTTCCTTTCATAAAGCCATGCTGATTCAAACCTATATGGATGACTAACATTATTGTAAATGACTCGATAAAGGATCTGTTCGAATACATTAGCAAAATTGAAATTATCGTCACTGAAGTCGAAAATTTGAAAACTTCATCTCCTGGCAAGCGATCCCCACTGACACTTTTTCAAATTATGTATTTAGAAAAGACCTGCAACGACTAATTTGGCAAAACAACGAAAAAAATGAATACCCAGCAGATACACTTTTGGATGATTCGCGAAAACATTTGAAATTTAAGGGGGGGGGGGGGGGGGGGGTCGAACAACCTTGAACAAAACTCTGAAGTCGATGGGTACAAACATAGCGAGGTAAACGGCCGCAAAATTTTATGTAAACAAAAACATGTTGTTGCAGCAAAAATTACTTGTTTGAGAAAATTCCTCCAATTTCAAAATTCTTGCGAGCATTCGTATACCTCGACGAAATTTGGATTTACGAAAATGGTTCAGTATGATTTTGTCGTTGGGTGCACGAATCAGATGTAAAATGTAATGCCACCAAAATTAAAACTGGAAGATCAAGATTTTCAATTCTACCTGTAGGAAGCCAATTTGGGTTTGAAATGGTGTTACCTTGTCATTGAAATCGAAAAACAATGATAGAGATTATCACAAAACAATGGACAGGATATTTTTTCAAAATTGGGTGGTTAATCAATTTATTCCTGCTTTGGCTAAGTTGGACAGAACAAATGTGTGGTGGTTATGCACAACGCACCATATCATTCAGTGCAGTTGGACAAGCCACCAACATTTTCTAGTAAAAAAGTCAAATGCAAGAATGGGCGTTTAACCATAATTTGAACAAAAATTTTCGATAAAACAATTGTGGGAATTAATTAAACCATGGTCATGAAATTTTTAGAATACCCCCATACCATTTCAATACAACCCGATAGGTTGGGGAATTTATGACTTGACTTTCCAAACATGTGGCAAAATTTTTGTGGACATTGTGAAAAAATTATTTTGACCGACTAGAAAAAACATAAAATATGGGAAATTTTTCGTATGAAGACATTCCTCCTTTCATTATTTCACTAGGTGAATCTGACTCAGAATCAGAAGACGATGATTATGACTCAAATTTTTCTAGTGATATAATCGAAATCGAATAAAATACTAAAGCGTAACTTGCCGGAGGATTTTTTTTTATTTCAGAAATTGTTCAACTGAAAGGAACAGGTATTACCATTCTTTAATTCAGGGGCGGCTTGTTCTATTAGACAGGTAAGGCCTCAGCAATGAATTTGCGCTGTATTATTATTTTACTTATTTCTCACCGATACATTTCCGTCGAATATTTTTTGTATTATTTTAAAAATAAATGTAAAAAAATATTGTTATTCTTGTCTTGGTACGTTTCGAAGAATCTAGAAGAAATTAGAAGAATCTGAAAGAGTCTGCAGGGATCTGAATGGATTTGTAAGGATCTCAATTAACCTGAGCAGAACTTACAAATTTTAAAGAATCTTGAGGATTTCGATTAAAACAAAGAGTCGTAAAGAAAATGAAAGAATTCGAACAAATCTGGAAGAATTTGAGGAAAGCTGGAAGAATCTGAAACGATGGTAAAAAATTTGAAAAAATCTGAAGGAATCTGAAGGAATCTGAAAGACTCTGGGAGAATCTGAAGGAGTCTGTGAGAATCTGCGAGAATCTGAGAGAAATTGGAAGCTTTGAAAAGAATCTGAAGGAATCTGAGGAAACTTGTGAGAATTTGAGCGAATTTTGAGGAATTTCGAAGATTTTAGAAAAATCTAAGAGAATTAAAAAAAAACTGGAAGAATTTGGAAGAATTTTGAAAAATCTGCAGGGATCTCCAAGGATCTGTAAGAATCTGAAATGATCTGAATAGAACTGAAAATTTTGAAACAATCTTGAGGATTCCTGACGGTGTCTTTGAAAGTATCTGAAAAAATTCGAAAGAATCTGAAACAATCCGGAAGAATCGAAAAACATCCGGAATAATCCGAAACAAAAAAAAAATCGAAAGAATCTGGAAGAGAGAATCAGAAAGAAAATTAAAGCATCTGGAAGAATCTGGAGGAATTTGAGGAAATCTGAGAGAATTTGAGACGAGTTTGGAGATTTGGAAAGAATCTAAAGGAATTTGAGAGAATCTGAAAGAATCTGAGAGAAACTGGAAGATTAGGAAAGAATTGCAAGGAATCTGAGGGAACTTGTAGAATCTAGAAGAATCTAAAAAAAAACTGAAAGAATCGGGAACAGTCTGCAGGGATCTGAAAGGATCTAAATGGAAAAACTTGATAGGATCTGAAAAATTTTGAGGAAATCTAAGGGAATCTTGATCGATTTTTTGACATAGAAAAATTGCACATTTTTGGCGTGCTTAATGTTTCTAAATTTTCATTTTTTCCGAAAAAAATCTAACTAAAAATGTAAGCACGACAACATAATTTTCTCGATATTTAGATACATATGTATATTGAAACATTTACGGCCGTGCCTCATTATATGTACTTTATTTAGAAAAAAATCCAACCTCATGTAAGTTTAAAAAATTCGTCATTTAGTCTTTAATTAAATACACTTTATTACAGTTTATTTTTGACCTGAGGACGATTACCTTTTGGATATTATTCAAACAGCTGTAAAAACATACAATTTGTTTTTTGTCTCTTGATCCATGTATTCCAAATTTTGAGCAGCATCAACTAGAACTAACCTGAACACTCCTGAAGCACAAGAAGCGTGCAGAAGCGATGTAGACATTATTCAGTTATTTATTCCTTTTCATTATTTTGTGTTAAGTGCTAGGAATAATTATATATTATAATCAAAACTGTTGATACGGATTATTATTAAAGTTAAAACTTAATTACTACTTATTCAAATGTCTTACAACTTAACCTAATATGATAAATTTAATTTTTCATTAGGGATGTTTGCATATACGAAATTGGTTGCCAACCAAATTACTAGATTTACATGGCCTACCTTTGTCTAAAAGCATCCTGAACGGTATAATAATTCAAAATAGTTAAATAAAATCTCTAGATAAATTTAGTATTGATTAATTTTACAAATATGAGAAAGAGTAGAAAAAACAAACACTCCTTTTAAAGTGGCTTCTGCGGAATGTTAGTTACGTTTTCCCATAAACGAATATACAAGAATTTGTTTTTTGTGCGAAATATTTGAGCTTGTTGCGCAAAAATTTTACGGATTAGCAACACTTCGTTCAATAGGCGGCGTCACCCAAGAATCGACGAATCCAGGACCTTTAACAACCAGACCTTTAATGGACACACACTATTTTTTTTGTGAATGGAATTTTTTATGGAAATCTGTCTCGCATACGACGTCATTTAAAAAAAACACGAATACCACTAAGACTTTTATAATTACTATGAATTAATTCAGATTGAGTGGATTGAAATTTAAATTCGTTTCGTAAAGCAGTACACACTCACACATTTGCATGGGAGTCGTACGAAGACCGTAAAATATTTATAATTCAAATAGGGTACCTAACCTACCCTACCACCGGCAGCCACACCGCGACCAGACATGATCGGGTTAACCCTGACACAATAAATGACTGCTCTTTAATTGGTAAATTTCACTCGATGACTCGCACCGCTTGTTCTCTTTTAGCAATCCAGTAATCACCTCGATGTTTTTACTTTAATAATTTATTTACGAAATTTACGGACATCGCTTTAGGGTTACGTAAATTATTACTCACCAGAACGCCCTCCTGTCGCCTGTGAAGCCAGGCGGTAGCATGTTACTGCCAAGCCTGACAATGGGCTGTCGAAAAATTTCGTTTACCGAAAATTTGAATTCCATTTTTTCCTTTTTGTCTAATCACTGATCTGTAGCACTTCGCGTGAGAGAACTTTCAAGGCCGTCACTTGCGCTATAATAATTATTTAAATATTTGATGAAGCGCACATCACAGACTATTAAAGTGATTCGATTTTATTGAAAATATAATAAAAGCAACTGTTCCGCGCACTGAATGACAGAAAACGGATTTTCTTTTTTTCCTCTCTACCACCTACTACGTTCTAGCTTCGACGGCGACAGCGCGCTCTCTACTCGCTGATCCGATCGTCTAGGCTGTTTCATAAAGGAAGTGTGAGCAGTGGGCCATGCAGTCATGGGCGGAGGCGAAAGGGTTCTGCGAACAACAAATTATTTTTTCGTTGATTTCGTTCAGTCATTTTTATACCTGTGAACAATGTACACTATAATTACTGTAATACTGATTTAAAAATGCATTAAATTTTTTGTTGTGTTATCTGCAAGTGGAAAGGTTATTTTCACCGAATTTTTATCGTCTTTTAAATACGAGCTTCGATATGCACCTCGAGGTATATTTTTCGATAAACATTAATTAAAAATTTTTTAAGGTCACATTATCGAGTTTATACTTATAAAAAATATTAAACACAAATAGTCGTAATCTTTATTAATTATTAATTTACAATAAACATCCATTACACGAGTCAAACAGGAAAAAGGGTTTAAATATATTATCCGATTCTTTAAATTTCTAATCTAAGTTGGCTTTGGAATACAAAAGTCATGTCGTTGATAACACCATACACATACCGCGAAAGTTTTGTTTTTTAAACTTGAAAAGTAATTGTTTAGCAATTTTGACTAAAAGTTGTTTATTTAAAACCATAATAAAAATGGTTTCAACTCAAAATTAAAAAGCTTACATCATAGAAGCTTATTTTCGCACCAATCTGCTGTGAGTAACTAAGCGCGCGGTTCTCAATATCTCATTAGTTTTAGTATAAATGGAAAAAAATCAAAGACTAAAATTGTACGGCTCCTTAAGTATTTTGACATTTTTCTTAATATACGTAGCCTTCTTTTCACAAACATGAAACTTAAAACATGTTTGAATTAGTCAATTTTTATAGAGAAATATGGATTTTGCAGTTACGCTCCGCCTCTTGGTGTGACAACCAATGAGAAATTCATCACAATTGGGATCAGGGTGGGTGGGTGGGGTTTAACTTTTGGCTTTAATTTTTACATATTACATATAGTTTTCTTTGAACAACACGATTCTTAATAAAGATTTTGCCCCCCTCCCCCCCCCCTCACGACGAACATAGAAAAATCATCACAATTGAGACAGGACGGGTCGGCGGGGCTTATGTTTTGCCTTTTTTTCTTCTCAGTGTACATAGTGTTTTCTCCACAACAAGAAACTGAAAACATGTTCAAAGTGGTAAATTCTGCCCATCACATTCCTCTATAAATATACTAGAAAAGAGAACTACGTACATGTATTAAAAAAATCGCAAAATACCAAGCCCGCCCACCTACCCCCACCTCAGTTGTGACGACTTGTTTTATTTGTCATGAGCTGAAGGGCGGAGCTTAATTGCAAAATGCTTATTTCTCAACAAGAATCAACCATGTCGAACACGTTTTTATGTATCATTATTTTCAAAGAAAACTATATATGTCAAGGAAAAAAAAGTAAGAAATAAAACCCCACCCGCCCGCCCCAACCTCAAATGTTATAAATTTTTCATTCATTGTCTGACTAAGGGGCGGGGCTTAAGTGTAAAATCCGTGTTACGCGACAAATATGTACCATTTTAAACGTGTTAAATATGCTGTCGCAAAAAGAAGATTACGTACATTCAGAAAAAACGGCAAAATTTAAGCCCCGCCCACCCACTCCCCTCTTAAATGCAAATAATTTTTCTTATTCGTTATCAGCCAGAAGGCGGAGTTTAATTGCAAAATCTTTATTTCTCAACAAGAACTTACCTGCAACAGGTTTAAAGTATGATGTTGCTGTTGAAAGAAACCTGTATGTATTAAGAAAGAAAAGCAAGAATAAAGCATTTTATACAGCATGGTTTCAAATGACAATATTAACATGCATTTCAATTATTTTCAACTATGCAATTTTTTGAGAATTTTTAGGCGACTTTTTCAAAAATAAAATTTGACACATTTTCGATAATTTTCGAAATTTATCTAAATACATTCTCTTGTAGATTTCGGGCCACAGAAGTTAATTTCGGCTCATTTCTTCTAAAACTCCAACCGTTTTTCCAGAATGACCCTATTGAAATATCGCAATTTTTGAAAATTTCAAAAAATTCGAATTTCACTCTCAATATTTCGAAAATATTGCTCCGTGATCCCAAATAGGCTATATTTTTGGGATCAGCTTATATTTTGACATTTTTCTTAATATGCGTAGTCTTCTTTTCACAAACCAGAAACTTAAAACATGTATAAATTAGTAAATTTTTGTAGGGAAATATCGATTTTGCAGTTACGCTCCGCCTCTCGGTGTGATAACCAATGAGAAATTCATCATAATTGAGATCAGGGCGAGTGGGTGGGGCTTAATTTTCGGCTTCAATTTTAACTTAATACATACTTATTAGTTTTCTTTGAGCAACACGATTTTTAATTAAGCTTTGGCCCCCCTCCCTCCAGCTCACGACGAACATAGAAACATCGTTACAATTGAGACAAGGCTAGTGGGCGGGACTTATATGTTGCCTTCTTTTTTCTTTCTTAATATACATAGTCTTCTCTTACCAACAAGAAACTGAAAACATGTTTAAAATGGTAAATTTTGTCCCCTACATATCTCTATAAATTTAATAGAAAAGAAAATGACGTGCATATATTAAGAAAAAAACGCAAAGTACAGACGCGGCCGTTGAAAAGTACAACACTTTGACACGTCTTTGTGAATTGCTCCGAAATTGAAGTTTCTAAAATGTCACTTCAAATGTCACTGAAAGCATTGTCGTAGACTCGTAGAGCAGAAAATTTTACTTCAACAAAAGTTAATGCTTTATCGCAGCACCAATTGAATGGATTACGCTTAGGAGACCTCTTGGTATATTGATAAGACGGCATTTTGCACATATTCTAACGGGATTGCATGTCAAGATTGTCAGGTATCTGAAATGCTTTTTATCAATTCTTCCCGGTGGTTTGGCAAAACCGACATTATTAAATGTGGCATTCCTAAACTAGCGTGCGACACTGTTTTGTCAAATGTTGACAGTGAGGTTGTAATATTTGATGCAGAACCCAATTTAGGCTGTTCGAATTTTTAAATTTTCAAATAGTGCGCCAAAATGCAGTGTGGTACTTTTCAACGGCCGCGACGGTACAATAAAACATTATCCACCTTGTTCAAAAAATAACAAAACTTGATTTTGCGAATTTTATTTCTTTTTATGGGGTCATGAAACGTCGAGAAAGCATAAAAGTAGCCATAGACCCTATTACAATGCTTCCTTAGGTATTAGTTTACGCTCGAGAAGTATAAATCGCAATAACGTTATTTTTTAGATCTGTGTTGATTAATAGAGATATACACGCTTTTTGTAGTATCAGTTAAATGCAATTCTAAGATACAGTGTCCATAAAAAATAACTACCAACTATCAATATATAAAATACTGAACAAAAAGAAAGAGAACATGAAAACATAATAAGATGCAGTAATAAAGTGCAAGTAAACATTGTATACTAAAACCCAATTCTATTGATATCACAATAAAGCGTGTATCTTTATTTATATCTCCACAAAATTTTGTAACCCAGATTTTAAAAATAACCCAATTGCGATGTTTTGTGAACCCTTTCATTGCCAAAAAAATTTCAAGAGTAAGAATAACTTGGCAACGTCGTCAGAATTTCGAAACTATTCTGTTTTTTAAGTAGAATAATATACTACATACTTTGATCGATATTTTCTTAAATTTTATAACCATAATTCACTTTTTAATTTAGATGCGACACTGCTACGCTATTCTAGTTTTCTTGAGTTCAAATATTTTCCAGCGAGAGTTGACAAAAAAAAAACACAACAACGTTATTTTTAACATCTATGTTACAATATTTTGTAAATATATAAACAAAGATACACGCTTTGATGAGATGTAAATAACACTGAATCTTTATACATAGAGTGTTGATCAAAAAAAATATAACTTTTGGTGAAAATAGATTAAGGTGCAACAACAAAACATAGACTATTCTATTAGAAAAATCTGAAACTTGGGTATTTGAAAATTTAAATGTTTTAGAATATTGTATAAACACTCTAGAGGTTAAAATTGACTTTAACTGACCACAACAAAGGGAATACCTGTATACAGCTCTTAAAAAATAATACTTGTTGCGATTTTTTTTCTGAACAGTTGCATTGCTAAAAAGTTGCTTGAAAATTTAAATGAATACAATGTTGTAGAGCAGTTCCTAATGACTTTTATGATTTGTCAGGGTGGCTAAAAACGGTAAGCTCTATGAATTGTGTTCTTTAACGCACTGTATGGTTAATCTAGCGAGAGAGAATAAAAACCACGATCAAAAACAGCCAAGGGTTTTTGAAAAGTTGGTCTTTATTTGTTGCATTTTAAATTGGAACTGTCAGGAATCGGTATATGTTATACTTACTTGGACAAAATTATTAACAGTTTCGCTTTCTTTCCATAGAAACGTTTAAAAATTTAGAATTCAAAAAAAAATCTAGAAGTTAGAAATTATTAAGCCAAATCAATCTGTTTTGTACAAAATCCAATTTCAAACCGATACTCAGTAAATTTTCAAACTTATTAGACAGGATTTCATTATTAAACACTGAAAGAAAAACTAGCATTTGAAAATTTGACTTGCCAAAAAGCGTGAAAGAATATTTCGTATTTCTGATGTGTGTGCTTTGCTCGCTCTTATTCGGTTAAGTACAATTAGCACATTTTTTTATTGTCCTATTTTCATTTCCCACAAATCTTCTATTTTCTCTCTTGCCTAACTGAATTTTAATTAATATCGTAATAACTTTTTTATTCTTAACGTTACTAATAAAATTTGCAGATAATAATTCTGTTTTCTATGAACATGTTCTTTACACAATGTTTTATCAAACTCGTAGTTACGAAGTTAAATAAAATAAACAATTGCACCCCCTTTTCAAGATGGTGAATGATAATAGTCCCTAAAATTCAGTTTTACACTCAAGGGTCGATCCCTCTACGAAATTAAAAAAAATCTACGTACCTAAAATGCAAGAATTGACTACATTAATTATTTTAATTACACTTTTAT